TTTCCATTTCTCTGCTCTTGCCCACAGGCTCTCCTTGATTCAGTAGCTATGATTTCTTCCTTATGGCCGGGAAGCGAAACACCACAATTCTTTCATCTCTAGGTGATACACAAAATCACAGTTCTTCCCTGTTTGCAGTCTGTCTGTGTCTCTGTTGAAATGCACCGCAGTGAGGGCAGAGTTCAGATGGCCTGTGGACACTGAACTCGGTACTCATCCAAGAGTGAGATGACCCTTGCTTTTGTGTATGTCGGCGAGAAATGCCTGGGAAAGGAGCACAAGAAGTAACTGTGGCCCAGCTGGCCATCCAGCTCGGCATGATCAGAGACTTTCAGCTTTTCAAGGGCTCACTGCCACTCTCCAAAAGCGTAAACATTTCTTCTCAAAAATTTTCTGCTCAAAGCAGACTTTCAAATATTCTCTGATTAAAATCGCCAGGTTTATTTTGTTTGTCCCATGTGTTAATGCAGTCATGTAAAACTCTATGATTTGCTGTCAGTGAGTTAATTCTCCTCGGTGCTGAACCAAATGGGACTGTAGACTTAAAAGACTGAACGAGAAATGAGCTATATCTAATGAGATGTCCTCCAAAGCGGCCATGTCCTACACATGAGCCAGACACATGCTTCTGCCACATGTGATTTGGGCCAGTCATCTCCACAACTGATAGTTTCTTAGCAGTTTATAAATATGTTCCCTATTGTTTCTTTTAAACACACCCCATCCACTTCATCAGGGAAGTGAATAAAAGCTTACTAAACATATTGGGAGTATTCTGTTTCTTTTCCACTGGAGTAGCTAATATTTTTTTACTTTTTAAATTGAATGGCTGGATGATTTTTATACCAATCCATAATTTTATTTGAAAAGCTAACCTGGGACTGTTAAAAAAAAGTGAGAGGGAGAAGAAACCGTTTTCGCCTTCTTGTCTATCAGTGCTAATTACCTCTTAAAAGTACCCTTACGATCAAGGGATGCAAGGGAAGCTCCATTTCCTCAGCAAATGGAATACTGAAAGGTACAGTTTAAAAGGGTTACTACTGTTAGCGAAGAAGGAAAGTAATGGAGTGACCTGTGGACACACCCTGAGTCCAGGAACACACAGTGCCACACATCTTTTTTGGCTCAGAGATACACAGGTCCATCTGTCAAACTGAAAAGCCAAGGAAATGGCAGTCTTTGGCTTTCTGCTGGTGGGGACAAGTACTGGAAATATTTTATTGCAAAGTGACTGAAACCCAGTCAGAGGTTGAATACTTAGCAAGCAGGCAGCAATGGCTGAGAGAAAAAGGACCAAGATTTTCTCTGTTGGGCTCCTCCAGCCTGGACAACAGGGACAACTAAGATTTTTAAATAGCATGCTGGATTCAGATGACTCTGGAAAGTTTTGTCTCAAAAATAAAATAGGCGAAGCATCCCCAAAGAAAAATGGCTGGGGAAATATGTCATCAGAACGGTATGGAAGCGCATCAGAAACTGCCTATAGATTGCCCAAAGAAAACAGAACCAATTTTCTGAGAAGATTGCATAGAAATATTGAGTAGACCTAGCTTCATCTACTGCCCACAGAGTTCATTTGAAAATGTAATTAAAAAGACTGGGGATGGAGAATAAGAAAAGATAGGAGGCACAAAATGGTCCTTTACAGTTTCCTTGGAAGGTCACAGCCCACTTTATATAACACATTATGAAGCACAAGGTTACAGTGGGTTTTCAAAGACTTGGCTCTACTCCAGAAGTCTCTCTTTAATGTTGTTTGCAAAATTTATACTAAAGGCAGATTTATGAACTCTGTTAGAGAACAAGTATTTCTCTTCTTATTCACAGAGAAGAACTTTATTATTTTGGTCCAGTTGCAAAATATAGCTTGAGTTTGGCTGTAAATTCTCAGTTATATATGTAAGGCATTGTGTTTATTTAGAAATAATAAGGCTTCTAATTTCAAATCAGAAAATCCCAGGGTCATATAAGGACTTTTATCAGTTTCAGGTCTTATCCAGACGTTATGGAAGTTTCACCTCTGTAATTCTAAGTTAATGTGTTTAATCTTTCTGTGGTGTAAAAAGCACTGTTTATCACCTCTCTGCAGAGCTGAGGCCAGGATACTGGTTGAGAAAGCAGGTTCTAGAGTCAAACTACCTGAATTTGAGTTCTGGCTCTTTCACCTACTAGTGTTGAGACCTTGGGCAAGTTCTTAACCCTTCTGAGCCTCAGTTACCCCATCTGTAAAATGAGGATAATAATAGTTCCTACCTTGTAGGGGTGTGGTGAAGATTAAGTGAGATACTATATGTAAAGCGTTTAGCACAGTGCTAGCATACGGGAAGAAGAATCAACCCTTACACTCTTGCAGACAGTTAAGATACCAACACCGTAGAGTTTAGTTTTGTCCAGACTGAGCACGTAATGGCTGTAACCTATCTCTCCGTATCCTAACCTCCTCTCCACTTTCCTTCCCCCAGCTCTCTGGGCCTCCCCTAGTTTCTCCATATTTAAGTGTTCTTCCTCTAACGAGCACAGAAGATTCTGGTCAATGCCAATTTTTTGAAAGAATTACCTGCTTTACTCTGTGTCTTCACATATTGAGCATTTCTTACTTGAGTTCAATGAGGATTAATGCCCCACAGATCTTAACAGACAGAAAATAGAGAATGGATCCAAAAGACAGGAAACGGAATAACTGGGTAGCTGGAGGGATTGGGACAAAACAAAAAAAGAAACAAAGACTTGTGAAAGCAAATGAACCCGTAGCTGGTTCAGCTCCTTTTAGCCACAACTGTAGTGTTTCTCAGCATTGTTCCAGCCGGAGCATTGGTCCCCTGAGATGATTAGCAAACAAATGGTTTCTTGGTCAAAGGAGTTTGTCCAAAACGTTTCACACCACGTTTTCCTCTAGGAGTCTCAGTGCATGTTAACATAGTAAAAATTCTAAGAAGTACTACAGTAAAGAAACCTGCTTTATTTTGCTTATCTCATATTATTGATCAATACATAACACTGACCAGTACATTTGGAGAAGGCTTCCACTATTGTTATTTTAGAACTGGGAAACAGGAATTCCCATAAATAATGAACAAATTTTGGGGCACTAATGAACCATGATAAAACTGACGGGAAGACAAGTGGGACTAATATTTAGTGAGTGCCTATTATGTATGCCAGAAATTATGCTAACTGCTTTAGAAATATTTGCTTTTTCCCGATAAGGTTAAAGTAGTGGTTTTTAAGTGGGAGGGATATTTACAGTGCTTTACGAAATAATGTCATGGCACATATTAGCAGTCCTTAAATGGGGACAAATAGCTCTTTAAGAAATGAAGGATCTTGAGAGCTCACGTAGCCCATCTTCATGCCTGAGGGTATTGCTTTTGCACTCACTGAGAAATTTGGAGAATCTGGAGTCTCTCTACTCTCAGTTCCCTGGAATGTAGCATTGTATACAAACCTGTGAATAGTCCTAGTTCTGCCACGTATTGGATATGTAACCTTGAATAACATACTCCTCTGAGCCTGTGTAAATACTAGGAAAATAATAACATCGAACCTAAGTTTGTGAGGATTTTACTTACAAAACATAAGCTCGTAATTGGTGCTCAAAAAAATGCCAATGCCTTAATCTACCATACTTATTCTTGCATCCATTGATGAAAATATTTTTCTCTTACACAATTACTAGAACAGATTCTGTGAAGCCCATAAACTAATATGTACAATTTCTATTTTCAGCATCTACCAACTGTGATTTGAAATGCTACCATTCTGTGTGTATGTACGTGTATTTGTGTGTATGTAGAAACAGCATGTATTTAATACACTTCATAATGCAGTATACATAAAATTATATAAAATAGCAGTTTATGTATTGTTAAAGAAAAGAACTACATTTTATTCTTTCTTTATATTCCCCAAGACATCTATCCCAGCATGGTCCCAGGTACACAGTATTTAGTTGTCTTGTGAAATAAATGAATGGAAATGATAGCGGTAAATTGCACTAAAATTGTATTATTTTATACAATATAATGTAACAAATGTAACTTAATAATAGGACACTTTGCACTGGGGAGCAAGCCAGGATGGAGTCAGACTGTGATTTTTTAAATTTGGTAATAAATTTCTGATGCTTTAACAAACAGCATATGCTCACTGCTCAGTCTCAGCTGAGATGGGTACCAGAAAATTTGCTAACAAGACTCCTATGTTAGAGATAAGCATTATTTTATGAAACTAGATCTGTCTTCAGTTCTTTTGCAAGAAATTTGAATTTCCCTTCAAATAAATTGAATGTTAATATGTTTGATTTACTTCAACTCTTATTATTTTCTTTCTTCTCTATTTACTGTTTTTCACCCTCATGCAATAGAAAGTAAAAAACTACCTCTTTTCCTTTGTTGAAATGTTTATAAATCGTTAATAGTGAAACATTGAGAGGTGAAACTGGGGTCAAGATGGAGAGAATACTGCACAATAACAGCTATTAACTTTGTGCAGAGTAACAGGTCTTAATTTCAGTTCTAAGTGTAGGCAGATGCACAAACAACCATATACTATGAGATTTCCCTTCCTTTCTTGTGCATATTTGCCCACATTGCCAGTGAGAATAAATTGTGGGAGAGAAATGATTTTATACTTAAATGAATAAAAATAGGTAAAAATGAGTTAGAGATTGAAAAACACTGATGACCATATTTTGGGTATATTTTCAGGTATTGTTAAGGGAAATGGCAAGTGACCTGAATTCAGGGCAACCAGACACATCCCAGTTGACCTGCCCCTTTCTACTATCATCCCCTCTCCCTTTTTAACCTCTTTTCTGTGTCCTTTTCTTTTTTTTACCTACATCTTGTTACTCAAACCTGGAATGTAGCATTGACTCCTTTATGATTTGGAAATAATGACAGGTTGCTGATACATTCAACACATGTAAATGTCCTCTGAGTCTTACCAGAGATTCCAGAGGGGAGGATGTGTAAGATAAACTGAAGAGTGATCTCTTGTAGGAATGGAATTCCGCAGTGGAGAAGCTGAAGAGTGAGGCACTGGGGATTCTGCTCTCCAAGGAGTATGTGGAGAAAGAACACCTACAGCTGTCTAACCAGAAACTGAATTGGCTTCAAGAGGAATTTGGTCGGCTCATGGTGGAAAGGAAAACCTGGTTAAAAAAGGCAAATGATTTTTTTAACAGCGCGAACAAGGTCAGTGTGAGGTGAAGCTGGTAATTTTAGGTCATCAGGGCAAACCAGTAAGAGACCCATGACTTCAACAGGCTGGAACACGTCACAGAAATCTCGACTCCACTTAGAGTTTCAAAATTGATAGCAGCAAAAAGGAGCTTTTAAAATATATTCCTACTGTGGCCATTATTTTGTACTCAAAACTAAGAGATTCTGTGCTTTGACATGTAAAAGGTCACCGAAAAAAAAAAAAAGGAGACTTTTATCTTAGAGCTCTCATTGTTCTGTTTGAGGTGGACATTTGTGCCAACATGGTAGTGTTTCTCCTGGAGGAATGGAATTATCATAAAATATATCAAGGTTAACCAAAAAAAACCTTGAAACTTTTACCAAAAAAAATCTTTCTCTTTTTAAAAATCCTCTTTCATTTATTAGGTGAAGATACATAAATATTGCAGGCTTTTGGCACGCGAACCATAAGGCTCTGGTTGACTGCCCTGCCTTGGTTTGCCTTTTTTTTTTTTAATTGGAGTATAGTTGATTTACAATGTTGTGTTAGTTTCAGGTGTACAGCAGAGTGATTCAGTTATACATACATATATATCTTTTTTTTCAGATTATTTTCCCTTATAGGTTATTTAAAAATACTGAATATAATTACCTGTGCTCTACAGTAGGCCCTTGTTGGTTATCTGTTTTATATATAGTAGTGGGTATATGTTAATCCCAAACTCCTAATTTATCTCTCCCCACACACTTTAAATCAGCCAAAGGGAGATCTTGCTTTGGACTGTTTCCAGGCCTTCTTGAGTGGGAGAAGAGCTCTATTTTCATTTAAGATTGATTGTAGCAGGTGGCTCATACTGCGTGGTACTGTTCACGTGTTCACATCACTTGAGTGTCTGAGGATGGCGATAATGTTTGAAAAAATTTCTGCCTTTCCCAATCGAACATACACCTGCAAACTGCCTTACTGGAATTAATACCTTAAATTTCACTGATGTAAAACTGGGTAATGTGACAGAAAATGAATGGGAACCCACAGAGGGTAGGCATATTGTGATTTAAAGTAATAACATCAGCAATCTGAATACGGTGTCCTGGTAGGTATCAAAACTGTTACTTAATTTTGAATTTTTTACTAATGGGAAACTTGGAAAACATGAATAGTAAAGTTCCAAAATAGAGGTGGTAGAATTATGGTAGGAAAAAAACACATGTCAAAGAAATATTTGTCAAATTATTATTGTTTGGGATTTCTTTGTTTTAAGAGAAGAAACACATAATTTCTAGATCTGTTGAGCTAAGTAAATGGTAAGTGCTGGTTAAATTTCTCTTCAATAGTCCTGATTTTGAATAAGAGTTTTGTTTTTTTTTTTTGCGGTACGCGGGCCTCTCACTGTTGTGGCCTCTCCCATTGCGGAGCGCAGGCTCCGGACGCACAGGCTCAGCGGCCATGGCTCACCAGCTGCTCCGCGGCATGTGGGATCCTCCCGGACCAGGGCACGAACCCTTGTCCCCTGCATCGGCAGGCGGACTCTCAACCACTGCACCACCAGGGAAGCCCTGAATAAAAGATTTTTAAACTTACATTACACTCTCATTCTACAAAATGAGTGGGTCATCCCAGTTAGTTAATGCGGTTTCTAAGGAAAACAGTTATAGAACATGTTGCTATGATAAAATGCTTCTAGCATAAGCCCTAAACATTATAGTCCTGCAAAATGGAGAATTTTTCTCTCTCTGTCTCATTCTCACTCCCTCACTCTTGCTTTCTCTGCTGTCATTATCTGGTAGCTTGCCAGGGAAATTTTTCTTTTTACATTATTCTTGGGCCTTGAAGGAGGAGGAATGATATCTCTTGCAATAGTAATTTTTAAAAAATTGAAGAACGGAGTGGTTATTTTTTCAAGCTTATACGATAATTAAGGTCAAATCCTAACAAATCCTGTTTCATAACCCCAAACACTTGACTTCTAGTTCCCGTTTCATCATTTGAATGCCCATGGCATTCAAATTATAATTAGTTCAGTTGGGACTTCTCCATACTATAGAATTCTTTGTAACCAAGTAGTACTTAGAAAGGTTTAGAATTTATTTTCACTTTTCAAAGCATCAGGGAAATAACTTCTAACTCCAAATCTAAGAATTCAGTTTGAAAGATGATATATACTTTTACCTCAGCAAAAATGGAAGCTGGAGTTTGGAAAGTAGATGTTTAAATCATGACTCTTGAAATGAGTTATTTACCATATTATTAAGAAGCAATAAATGATGAAATAATATAGTAAATAAATCCGTTTAAATTAAAGAAGGAAATTCTTCTCAAGGCTTGTAAATGGCATTTTTCTTTTTGATTTATATTGTAGAATCTCCAAATTTTATAAAATTACCATTTTACCCCATTCTGGGCATAACTACTCATAAATAATCCTAGTTAAAATAAAGCACTGGATTTAAGGTATTAATATAAATTCAAAATCCCTTAAAATATTTTTTTCTAGTCTGAAAGTTTTGTTTTCACTAGTGAAGGAGTATTTTCAGTTTACATCTTCAATTTATCTCCGAAGCACTGAACTTTCCTTTTGAGAATTCACTTTATTGCGCCTTGAGGGCGCTGGGTTTTCCTGATTGTGATCATCTACATCCTTGATGAAGCCGTGCTGCCAACAGTTGTGAGGTGTCTGAGACTTTTCACCCAACTTTCCAGCCAGCAAAAGAGATAACCAGAGTGTCAAATGTCACATCAGTTCCCCAAGTCCCAGTTCCCCAGGCATTCTTGACACACCAGTAAGATGGGTAGGAGCAGTGGAGAATCGCCCCACACATGCAAATAAGGATGTTAGCACTGTGAAAAAAAAGAGAGCATCAGGGCTTTAAAAAAAGAAACGGTACCTCGAAAACCAATTTCACTCTTGGTAAATGGAATCATTTTTTAGCAAACAACGTCTTGTTCCAAATTTGTTAAAGCTAGGTCAATATTCTTCAATTTCTGTGTCAAATGCCAGTGTGAAAAAATGTTAGTGCCATGGGTAATATATGAATTAGTGAATGTAACAGCTTGAGTGTTTTTGCTCAGTAAAATGCAAAACATATGATTTTTAAGATAACCTTTAACTTTTTAAAATTTGGTTAAAATAAAAAGAAATGAATGTCATAATCTCATCTGCAGAACGGACTACTGTTAGTATGTCTTCCGTATCATATTTATTTCTTTTTCATCCAGATTTTTATCATATGTTTCTGGTATTTTCTGTTCCAATCATCTGGAAACCCTCCTCTTTTTCCCTTCTTTCCTTTTATTGTCACCTGTCCTTCTCTCTCTACCAATCCTATCAATATCTAGGGATATTGTTATTTACTAGAAAAAAGTCACAATAAGTTTTTAAATTGAAGTTACTAAATAAGTAGTGTGGCAAATTTATGAGAATAATTACCCTTTTTCTTTACGGATTCATTTATTTAATATTTATTGAGCAACTACTATGTGTCAGGGACTGTTCTAAATGCTGGGGATATAGCAGAGAATAAAACATACAAAAAAATCGATAAGCCAATGTAATTCCAATATGTGAAATTCAATGAAATATAATTATCACCTAATTGTCCACATTGACAAGAGTGCCCACTGCCTTTATAGTTTCAGGAGTGAAATTGATTACCTTTTAATCCTGCTAGGGGTTAATGATTACCCAAAGCTCAAGAGTCTGTTTCTTACCTAGAGAATGTCTAGTGTTTGGCTTGAGGTGTGACCGTTTGTACCTGGAATGAGCAATAGGTGGCGATGTTAGCACATAGGACCTCAGGAGTAGTGTTGCTACTGATGCTTTTCTTTTTCTTTTTTTTAAATTGAAGTATAGGTGATTTACAACATTATATTATTTTCAGGTGTACAACATAGTGATTCAGCGTTTTTGAAGACTATACTACATTTAAAGTTATTACAAAACAATGGCTATATTTGCCTGTGCTGTACAATATATCCTTGTCGCTTATCTGTTTTATGCATAGTAGTTTGTATCTCTTAATTTCATATTCCTATCTTGCCGGTCCCCCTCCATCTGCCCACTGGTAACCATTGGTTTTTTTCTCTGTATCTGTGAGTCTGCTTCTGTCTTGTTATATACATTCCTTTGCTTAATATTTTAGATTCCACATATAAGTGATAACATACAGTATTTGTCTTTCTATCTCTGACTTATTTCACTAAGTATAGTACTCTCTACATCCATCTACATTGAAGTAAATGGCAGACTTTCATTCTTTTTATGGCTGAGTAGTATTCCATTATATATACATACCACATCTTCTTGATCCATTCATCTGTTGATGGACATTTAAGTTGCTTCCATATCGTGGATATTGTAAATAATGCTGCTATGAACATTAGGGTGTGTGAATTTTTTCAAAACACTGTTTTATTTTCTTTGGATATATACCCAGGAGTGGGATAGCTGGATCATGCAGTAGTTCTATTTTTAATTTATTATTATTATTTTTTACACCTTTATTGGAGTATAACTGCTTTACAATGGTGTGTTAGTTTCTACTTTATAACAAAGTGAATCAGTTATACATATACATATGTTCCCATATCTCTTCCCTCTTGCATCTCCCTCCCTCCCACCCTCCCTATCCCACCCCTCTACGTGGTCACAAATCACCGAGCTGATCTCCCTGTGCTATGCGGCTGCTTTCCACTAGCTAGCTATTTTACATTTGATAGTGTACATATGTCCAAGCCACTCTCTCACTTTGTCACAGCTTACCCTTCCCCTTCCCCATATCCTCAAGTCCATTCTCTAGTAGGTCTGTGTCTTTATTCCTGTTTTACCCCTAGGTTCTTCATGACATTTTTTTCCTTACATTCCATATATATGTGTTAGCATACGGTATTTGTCTTTCTCTTTCTGACTTACTTCACTCTATATGACAGACTCTAGGTCTATCCACCTCATTACAAATAGCTCAATTTCGTTTATTTTTATGGCTGAGTAATATTCCATTGTATATGTGTGCCA